AAATTTTTTAGAAAACTGTAATATGCAAATTGTAATCTGTTTTACTTATATGTATGTATGTTCATTTTGAATTTGCACCTTGAATGATCTATTAGTTACTTTTCGTGGTACATATTCAACATAGAAAATATACTTTATGTATGTTGCAGTTATTTTCTAGAACACTGTAATATTTTTATTGTAATCTGTTTTACTTATATGTAGGTATGTTCATTTTGAATTTGCATCTTGAATAATCTATCATTTACTTTTCGTGGTACATTTTAATATAAAGTGTTCTAGGTAGCACAATGTCTATATTAGAAGTTCTTTGATAAGGATCCAAACCGAGGATCGAAACGTAAGAAAAATTGTATATTTTCAATAAATCGTATCAACACACATTAACATCCTGTGTACAAGACTCGATTAAGCATTTCTCTTTCTCTTTTAAATGATTATCTAATAATAATATATTAACCACGAAAAGTAACTGATATATTATTAAATCCTAACATATCATTAAAATGAAAAGGTCCAGCCATGTTCAAAAATAGATTCTCGCAAATTAAAAAATCAAAAAAAATTTAAACCTCTGAAAACTAACCACAAAAATTGGAACCTTTCTAAATTAAAACGATTACCTAATCACAAAATAAAAAACCCAATAAATTTCAACCTTTGAAAATTAACCCCAAAAATTTGAACCTTTCTAAATTAAAATGATTATCTAATATTGTAACCTAATAATTTAAACCTTTAATACTTTAAATGATATTATCTAATATATTACCACGAAAAGTAACTGATATATTACTAAATGTGCCAGTTCAAAGTGAACATACATATTATGTATATTTTCTATGTTGAATATGTACCACGAAAAGTAAATTTTGATTTCACGTACAAGCGGCATAATTTTGGTTTTAACATAGAGTAAAAAAGAGTAGTTTTTGATTTCCGCTATATATTGTATAAATGCATATGGTTGATACTATATGATGATATAATTATGGTGTACACTTCCCAGATAACATGCATGTTGCATAAGATATCTAAAAGATGTATTTTACACATGTTTTAGACATATGACATCTAAAAGACGCCTCTTAAATATCTTATGCAGTATAAATATTATCTGGATTGTAGTTGGCATTTATATCGACAGTTAACTTATTGTTAGAAAATATCTGAATATTTTATAAATTGCCGTTATCGCTATCTCGTATTTTATGCAATGTAAAGTAAGGCTTGTGAGAAATACGATCCTCCATTTAGTACTGATAATCGTTGAAAATATTTTATAATGGGAATGACAACGTGCATTATGGTATAGAACGACATCCCTCGATGGCTGTAAGTAGGAAACCTTTCACAATTATAGTATTCAGTCAGGAGCGGAAAAGAACGCACAGTCTGTAATAAATGTCTAATCGACTTCATGTCGATTATTTAATAACTGTTATTAATGGTATGAGGGTTAAGACGTTGAAGTACGTAAAACTGTATCTAGTCTGTCGCAAGGCGTGCTCGGTTACATTGAAATGAATTTTATTGAGCTTTATAATAATAAAACATGTTTTATAATTGTTAGTATTTAGTAACTCTGTATTATTAGAAATTTTAAGAAGTAACAGGCCCAAGAAAGGTGCGCGATAAATTCTTACAAATATTGCTTCTTAAATGTATTCATACAAATCATACACGTTGCATTGAAATTAAAAAAGTTTTAGGATTCTTAACACGATTACATATGTTATACATACGCGATCTATGTGTTAAATGAATAAAATTTGTTGCAATGAATCACATTTAATGTTTAGTGTACAAATTAAATATTAGTTTGTAGAATTTGTCAATCACGTATAATCCGTTTTAAAAACTAATACACTGCTGTCTCTATATTAAATCTAATTTTTACTGATTTAATTATACTTTAAATATATAATTTATATATATGCACAAAACACACAAACACAACACAACACATATATATATGTACACATGTATAGTCATCAGACATGTAATAAGAATATTTAAGAAAACATTTTTTCGCAATATTTTAAAGCTATTTTTTGAAATGTTTTACATGTAGAAAAAGACTGATCTTTTAAACAAAACTGATAAACTGCTTTTAAAGAAGGTATTTCGAATATGCAATTATTTTCATTAAATTTTTTTATGTACACCATTTCTGGTATATGGCGACCGATTGAATGGTCATCAAATGGTGCCAATTTTCTATATAATGTATTTACTTATAATGTATTACTCTTGGAATATTTTTTGATGTTAACTCAATTCTTGGATATTCTACTTGTTATCGACAATATCGATGATTTTGTTGCTAATTCTATATTATTCGTGAGTGTTGCTGCTGTTGTATGTAAAGCGACTGTCGTTGTAATACGTCGAAATGCAATTATTAGTTTAATACAAATGTTATTGAAGTGTCCATGTAAACCTCAAGATGAGGACGAAATGGCAATACAAACAAAATTTGACAAATTCGTCAGGTAGGTATCACATGTATAATGTTGAAGCTTTAATGAAATTGCATTAATAATATATCTACGTAATAATTTATTATTAGTGTAAGATTGGTACATATTTTTATATTTTCTACGAGCCTTTTACTGATTATAGTTGATTTCATATTTTAACGCTATCTTTATCTATTTAATATTTTAATATGTAGTAATTTTTTGCATTTTGTTAAGTTAAAATACTCTCAAAAAATATTCTACTAATAAGCGGAGAATTCCTTTTATAATAGCATTTCCTCTAAGCAAAAAATCTTAGATGAGTCACGCGCATGTACTTATAACACAATTCGTCTCTCTCTATAAAAATGAGAATACATGAACTATGATTCAAAATAAATTCTTCTGTAGAAAATTCTATTATAACTGGAATAGCCTTTTGAAATAAAAGGATATATGTACAAGATACTAACGGCATGCTTATTTATTAGAAGAAGTTTGTCATTTTCATACTATCGTAGATACGTTTGCATGCAAAACATTCTTTTAGCATTAAGAGGATTGCAATTATAAATCCAGCACTTTATAGTTGTACAAAATTCGTTTATTTTGTAAAATATCTTCTTGAAGTCGTATATAAATGAAAAATTTTCTGAATATTAACACAGAACCGTTAAATAATAGAATATTTTTTTAGGGGTGAATATAATACTTCTTGTAATGTAAATTCCTAAATATTATTTTATAGAGGTATACTATTCTATATTTTGTTTCTAAAATACATGCATACACGCGCACGCGCGCAGAGAAGGGGGAGAAAGGAATATATACATATAATTATACTTAAATAGCATTATTACAAAGGTAGAGTTATAATAAGGACCATTTTTAAATAACCCTTATTGCAACTCCCCCCTTTGCCAAATTGAAGAAAATACAAATTAACTTTGATTATTATAAAAGCATGAATATTAATAAAATATAATTTCAATTCTACGTTTACAGATCGTGTTCAATAACATATTTGCTTCTGGCGATAATCTCACTTACAGGCGTCATAATAGGATCAGTATTAAATATTATGCAAGGTCAACTACCTTGTCGAATATGGTTGCCATTGGATTACAATATGCCTTTAGTGTTCTGGATTATATCTATTCAACAAGTCATAGCTATAATTGTTGGCACTATCATAAATGTCGGTACAGAAACCCTAGTCTTTGGATTGATTTTACAAACGTGTGCCCAACTCGAAATTTTCGAAAGTCGTCTTCATAAATTAATAATTAATAAAACAGTTAAATATCTGGAACACGCACTCTGCTCGTTGAATGAAAGCAAAATAGAGATATCAGAATGTATACGACATCATCTCAGCATTTACAAGTGAGTCGCTTGAAGAGTATCCATTTTTCATACAGCACGTCGTTTTATATACGTATTTAAATTTATAAAAGTATATATTATTTGATTGTTATGTTTCTAAAAATTGCTATTAATTATAACAATAATTTTTATCTTTTTAATAATTCTTATTAATAAAATATAATAAATTATTAATTATATAGACTCGTGAGATAAAAATCAAAGAAGAAATAATAATGCCTAGTCGAGTCAATGCACTGGATGTCGGTGTGAAATAGAAAAAAGTTTATTGTAGATATGTACATACGTTTCGATCCTTATTTTTGGATCCTTAATTAATAATTTTTATAAAAAAGTGTACAATGTTTGAAGATACAATAATATAATTGCTGCTATTTGAAAATAATAAACGACCATTGCACTCGATAAGAAAACATTACACAGCCAAAAAAAATGTTTCGACCTGGGGGTCTGACTATGTACACTGTATGTTTCTGGGGTCGCTGAATTCGAATACAAGGTCGGTTCAACCCCAGTACGTCAAGGTTTGGCCATAACCTCAAAAGAACCTCCAAAATCAATTAAAACTGTAAATCTGATAATCCCAAACAATTTTAAACCTAAAACCTGGTAACCCATCGATTCTTCAACTTAATTCATGACTCGATAACCCTATAAACCTCTAACCCTATAACCTTATAACCCCATAACCCTATAACCCCGTAATCAAAATACTAGCTGTAACAGTATTGCTCAATCTCTCACCGCGAAACTATTACTGGCATACATTTTAAAAAATTCAAACAGACTATGTTCATAATTCCCAAAGTGTTGAACTCGGTACAACATTTTTAGGACCGTCAGCATTAGCGTTACCCAATGTACATCGCGAGGAGGTTGCGTGAACGGATTTTGTACATCATTTAGCCCTTATAAGGGCTGTTTTAAGGCGTGCGATGCATAAATAAAAATATAGAAATGAAAACAAAATTTTAGTCGGTCTCTTTTCTTGAGCTGTATCGCGTTCTCTTGTTTTCAAATGATCTGTGCAACGAAGTACGCTTTCTTTTCCGACTTTCCGTCGATTCTCTCTCTAGGGTCCAACAAAAATCAGCCATCATATTAACATCCCATCTTCCCTGATACCGTGTTTCCATAATCTTGATATCTTGGTGAAATCGTTCTTCCTGTTCTTCACTAAAATCCCTCAGGTTGTGAGGAAATTTATCGAGGTGGGAATCTAGAAAATGGAGTTTCAAATTCATGTTGCATTTAAGCTTCTGAAAGTTAGAAATCATTTTTATAGGGTTATCGAGTTATGAATTAAGTTGAAGAATCGATGGGTTACCAGGTTTTAGGTTTAAAATTGTTTGGGATTATCAGGTTTACAGTTTTAATTTATTTTGGAGGTTCTTTTGAGGTTATGGCCAAACCTTGACGTACTGGGGTTGAACCGATCTTGTATTCGAATTCAGCGACCCCTGCAGAAACATACAGTGTACATAGTCAGACCCCCAGGTCGAAACATTTTTTTTTGTGTGGCTGTGTTATCAATGTATGATTTAATAATTCTGTTTATTACATATTGTATGAATGTATATAGATTTATATTTATTATTATGCTATAGTAAATTGCATAGGTATTACATGTGTACTTGCTAAAACTAAAAAAAATTAATTATTAAACTAGAAAGTCCTTATTTCAATAAATATTACACATAAGTTTTTTATAATTTTAAATATTGTATAAATTATGTTATTTAATCCTAAAGGGGAACCCAGGGCATAATGGTCACAGTAAGGTTTGAACAAAAGTTTTAAGCATATTATAGTTGTAACAGTGGAGGAATGTTGTTTATTGAGCGGCCGGGCGCGAGGCACGAGCGCCCGTGCAGACCTATAAACAAATATGCCCCCACTCGCTACACATAGAATTTTTCATTACAAGTGCTCGTCGTAATGTGCCTATACCGAAACGTTTTTGCCACAGAAGAGCGGGGTTAGAGTAATAACTCAAGCCGTTGAATTATTGGCTATTTACCGCACGCAAAAGCGTTGAGTTATTGGGCACATTACGTGCACGCGTGATGAACAAAATATTATAAGTAAATTATAACTTGTTTTGTTGTTAACATCTGATTGAGTTACCAATTTGTTCGCGAATCGCTAATATTTTGCAATTAGGGCTCTTACCATTCAATTGCGTAATAAGAGAGAAAATGAGATAGAGATTGATCGTCTCCTACAGTCTTTCTCTCATTGTTGTTGATCACGTTTGAATACAAAAGGAGAACCCCAGAAATGGTAGGTTATAATAGTATTTCCTCTAAGCAAAAAATCTTAGATGAATCATGCGCATGTATTATACTTATAACACAATTCGTCTCTCTTTATAAAAATGAGGATACATGAACTATGATTCAAAATAAATTCTTCTGTAGAAAATTCTATTATAACTGGAATAGCCTTTTGAAATAAAAGGATATATGTAACCAGAAAACCCTTGAATTTAGATGCAATATTTTTGGTAACTCTGCAGGACAGAAAAGAAATTCCGTGTTCGGAGATTTTTCCACATAAAAGCCTTAGTTTTCAAATTTTTAAATTTTGAAGATCGACCGCTTTTTGTCGACCGCGGCGTACATGAGGCATTCTATTCTATTAACATGCTTCGCAAGCAGTACGATTGGCTCGGGTGGTTAAGAGAGGATCCTAAAGACAATTAGTCACTTTGAAACTAACACTTACACAGACAATTACGTGTCATTGACACATCAATATCTTACTTACGCCCGCCACACATATACATAAATTTTCGTATTGTAATTAAATTTTAATTAGACATCTAAATCCAATTTTAAGAACCCCATTCTGTTCCTTTATCTGGAGACACGGTAGTGTCTCGACGCTAAGCCAAGCGCCGCGATACTGCTGTGCCTCCTTTACGCGAAACTGAGAATTTCGGGGATTGAGATGATCAGATCTCAGTAACGCGCGCGGTTGAACGGATCAAGTTCTATATACGCTCAATCAATAGCAATTACTTAAATTGTATAATAAAAATGCTTTCATTTTTTCTCTACGTGTCCTACGAGCGAAGATATTACGACTCAAGGTCCGAATCTGCAAATTTTCACGTTTTATTTTTAAGATACGTCGTCGTCATTATCATCATTATTGTCGTTGTCATTATTATCGTCGACCACATTCCATTCGATGTCCTGACATTCCTGCCGCAAGAGGCAAATGTGGCACTAGTCTATACTAGAGTCCTAGATATCAGAGAAGCGCAACCTGCTTAAGTCAGTATCGCAAAATTACTAAGAAAAGTAATAAAAATGGCGTCGTTTGCAGAAGAAATATGAAATCCACCAATCGTCTGTTAGTCAGCCATTTTTAATACCACTGAATGAATGTCATGATTGGCTGACAGTCAGCTAATCAGGACGCGGAACATCGGTTGCGCTTCTCTGATATCTAGCCCCCGTATTCATAGTCAGACCTTATACTTAAGGCTTCCTTAAATTTATCTTTAGATACTCAGTAGCCAATAAAATAATTCGTAAATCATCTGAAGATAAATTTAAGGAAGCCTTAGCCCGGATCCTCATACGGGCAACAGCGCTTTGACACCAAACGCTGATTGGTGAAAAACCGGTGGCGAGGGTAAAATTTACCCCCATAACCCGTTTTTCACCAATCAGCGTCCGGTGTCAAAGCGCTGTTGTCCGTATGAGGATCCGGGCTTAAGTATAAGGTCTGACTATGAATACGGGGGTAGGACTCTAGTCTATACTAGAGACTCTCTAATCAGAGTCGCGAAATAACGTTTTCAATTTTGATTGGTGCTGACATTTTTCAGCAAAAACCAGAAATAGTCATGGCGTCAAATTTAAGTCGACCTACATTCGCTGCCCATTTTAGAAAATATAATTTTATGAAATACACTATTAATATAAAAAATATAATAATGTAATTTTTTTCTGATAACTGTATTTAGATTCACATGTATTAGGTGTTAATGTATCACAATTATAGTCTTTTCATTGCAACTGCTATGGTGCTCGTACGTGCATAGTATTATATTTTTCTTCACGTGTGCACGTGATGTGCCCTACACAAAAAAGAAAAATTCTATGTGTAACAGTGAGGGCATATTTGTTTATAGGTCGACACGGGCGCATGTACGCACTCGCTTCGCTTAGAGACCCTCTAATCAGAGTCGCGAAATAACGTTTCCAATTTTGATTGGTGCCGACATTTTTCAGCAAAAATCGGAAATAGTCATGGCGTCAAATTTAAGTCGACCTACATTTGCTGCCCATTTTGCTCTTTTTTCAGGATTACGAGAAAAGACTTTCATAATATAATCCTTTTTTACAGAATTATTGCAGTCTGGCGCAGAACAACCAGTCACTTTAGAAAATATAATTTTATGAAATACAGTATTAATATAAAAAATATAATAATGTAATTTCTTTCTGATAACTGTATTTATTAGGTCTACAAAAAAGTTCGCGGTTTTTTTTTGTAAAATTCAATCTTTATTCGTATGTAATCGTACGGAAATGGCTTGCTGCGTAACGCCAAGCTGTTCTGCAAGCTCCTTTTCAGTTTGCGCAGAGTTTATATCCAGCAGTGCTTGCAATTCGTCTGTTTTAATCTTTTCAGGGCGTCCAGCACGCGATTCATCTTTAAGACTGAAATCTCCTTGGCGATACTTTTGATACCATTTTTTATATGTAGTATGACTTACAGTGTTCTCTCCATATGCAGCACAAATCATTGCAGTGACTTCAGCAGCATTTTTCTTCAGATGAAACGCGAAATGGATGGAAAATCGAATATGCTCTTTTGTTATTGCCATCGTGAACACTAGAGGAAGGTCAGCGATACCGACATACTTTGTTTTTAGACTATATTTTTTAGACAAAAGTAGAAAATAAATCTTTGGAGATATAAATGTAAACTAGAAAGTGTCTTCTATCGATGCTCTATAGCAATTTCTATAATACTGTTAA